CCCCAAAACCCCAAAACCCCAAAACCCCAGGCTGTAGCCTAGAAATTGAAAAATATTTCTAGCATAATTAATCCTTCCAAATGAGTGCTTCCGCACTCATTTGGAGACTTAATTTGAACTATTGGAAGCGACTATTTTCTTGCCTTTGGCCCGGTCAAGTATTCATTTCTCCAGGACTAAACTGTGCTTCTTAATGTGAAGATCAATTTGGGTATTGATCTTCTTGGTCAGCGGAGTAACCTATAGGGTCATAACAAATTCACTAGTTGTTCTTACCTTGTTCATTTCGCCGAAATCGAGAGGGATGGATGAATTTCTGATGGCTCTGGGAACTCCACCCTCTGCGTGAGCCATCTCTCTGAAGACGTCACTATGACATAAATGATGTAAAGTACCTCTTAATATCCTTAATTATTGTTTCTTTCAGTATTTTAGAGAAGCTTTCACCATAATTTATCTGTGAAATTTTTTGAGGAGAGTAATCTGGGTTATATCTGGAAGTTACTAATCCTTTCCTTTTAGAAAATATGGTCTAAAAGTGTTTTTAAAATTACATTCCTAGCATAATTTATTAAAATTGTCTTCTTTGGATGAATCTTACCTTATGATCACTTCCTAAATGATTGGACTTGACAGCACAGGAGCTCTGGGTCCTCTTCTCATAGCTGCCATTTTCCCTTTTCATAAAGTTTGATCTTCTCATTTTATTAAAGATGGATTTTATATTAAGATTCAGCTTATTTTCCTTCACCATAGTTATAAGGCATGCCTAGTCTTTTGAAGAAATCTTTCTTGGTCATCAAGGAGGTTGGGTCTGCGTAGCCAGTTCCCTTCGTAACTACATCTGGTTAGGTAAATTAAGAGGGAATATACTTAGCAATTGGCGATCTTGGGAAGCCCTCCCAGTCAGAGAAGCCCTTTCCCGCTTGATCCACTTCCTTTGTAGGTCTTCTATCAGGACTTTCTTGCTCAGCTCGTTAATGTCTTTGTAGGTCATCTGAGTGGTCCTCTTCATTTTTCTGGATTGGGTCTTCCTGAAGGCATGGAACTGGGGTATACTTTTAGTTCGTTTTGTCATCATCGCGGTGGAAGGTTTAGGACTAGGTAAAATTAGCAGCAATTTACAGAGAATCTATCAAACAGGGAAATATAATTTACCTAGGAAGAGTTTTGTCTCTATAGTTCTTAGACTTGCCAATAATTTGGAGCTCTTCTTTCCCTCCAAGTCCAAAAGTACTAGATAGCTCGATGCTGGTCCTTGAAGATGGAAATTGGAAAATTCCTATTGTATTACATTAGCAGCTTGTAAGGGTAATTTCTTCACAAAGTTTTGGATTAAAGCAGAGTCTTACAATTTTGAGAGACAGAAGGATTTTTCAAGTCCTCATTGGTCTTTCCAATATAATTCATATTGTTTATCTGACTTATTGTGGTGGGAGAGTCCACTCCGTATTTCGTCAATGGGTCAGCTTTCACAGTAGCAATGTTTGCTCCAAGCTTATTGATGATTGTGCTCTTCTTAGATCCTATATTCTTCATAAAAGAAAGAACATTATTACTTATTGTCTCTGAAGAGACGATTTCAAGGAGTTTTTATGAAAAATAGATGAGCATAAAAATTAACTGTAGAGTAAAAATATAGTAAAATTTGTGTTCAAGATATCTAAAAATTTAATTTTTACATGAAAATTCGTTTAGAAAATGAACTGAGAGACTTAGAATTTCAAAAAATACTTCTTCAATAAGACTTGTTATCTTTCTAATAAATTTAAACACCAAGAGTTATAAGATTTGTAGGAAAACCAGGCAGATCCATGCTATATCCGATGCACTCCAAATCAGGAACGACCAATAAACATCATTATAATAAATCCATCAAACTTTTCCCAACCATAAATCTCTGTACATTCTGAATAACATTCTAAACCATCCTACACCAGAGAGAAGTACAGATGCTAAGAAGCTATCACTATGCATCCCGCACTCTCATCATCGCTAAAATACTAAAGTACCACCATAAGAAGCGCCCTGTTCAAACCTACGGCAAATTTCTGAAAATTAGAGATCGCCTGTTGACTAAAACCTCAGGTATTTTCACTAGGAAATAACTTCAATGCTGAAATAAAGGCTGACAGAAGGTAAGGGAATAATATTATTGTACTGTGGACTCGTTATAGGTAGGCTTAGGACATTTTGAGGCCTCTGAACTGTTGAAATGAGATTTTAATGGGATTGATATAGGTGTCAAGTCTCTTATAGGATTTATTGCTTACCTTTGAGGGTATTAGTCACAGTATGGCGCTTAGGATTCATTTATTTAGAGAAATAAAATATTTCACGCTGTTGGATAAAAGTTGGGGTTTTGGGGTTTTGGGGTTTTGGGGTTTTGGGGTTTTGGGG